TTGACCTTAGAGCAACCCCCTAGGCAGCCGCCGTGGCATAGCATGAACCCCCAAACCTTAAATCCCAAGCCCTAAACCCTTCTTTGAGAAAGCAAAAGGGGGGGAACCGGGAGCCCTGGACCTTCTAGGGTTTAGGGGTTTAGGGTTTAGGGTTTCGGGTTTAGGGTTTTGGCTTTAGGGTTTAGGGTTTAGGGTGCAGGGTTTAGGGTTTAGGGTTTAGGGTTTAGGGTTTAGGGTTTAGGGTTTAGGGTTTAGGGTTTAGGGTTTAGGGATCTCCCAATCCTACATTCCGAACCCTAAACTCAGGTCGGGTTAGTGTCTTGGAGGGTTGGGGCTGTCAGCGCTGACAAAGCCTCATTGGACTCTTTCAGGGTTAAAGCTGTTATGCAAGTTGGATCTACGGAAACCACATAAGTGCGGAAGCGCATATGGCATAGGACAGCCCTTCATGGTCAAACCAATCGTATCGTGGCATGCTCTGCTGTCCCGGATCAGTACCCCCCCCCCCCCCTCCGCCCCCCGCCCATTCCTGAACCCAAAACCCTCAGGCAAACCCGAAACTCTAAAAAGCCTACACCTTAAAACCATAAAACCCCTAAACCTCAACACCCTGACCGATAAAACCATGAACAAGTTCGTTCAGAGAAAACCCAGAAAGCCTCGAAAATAAACCCTAAACCTAAACCCCCTAAACCCCCTAAACCCCCTAACCCCCCTAAACCCCCTAAACCCCCTAAACCCCCTAAACCCCCTAAACCCCCTAAACCCCCTAAACCCCCTAAACCCCCTAAACCCCCTAAACCCCCTAAACCCCCTAAACCCCCTAAACCTCCTAAACCCCTAAAGCCCCAGTGCGGGGGGGGGGGAGGGGGTGAATTGGGGTATATGTCGGGTTTATCTGCCGAGTTCTTTCGGATTACGGGGGCCCCACTATAGATGATAGAAGAAGATGGCGTCTGGCTTGCGAGCGTAGACACGAAGGCTTCATCACGCGATTCGTGATCCTCCCAGCTCTCCTGCGACGGCAGTGCGCTGGAGTGCCCCAAAACCCAGATCCCAATGTTTGCTGGGGTGCCTTAAGGGTTTTGGGTTTTGGGTTTAGGGTTTAGGGTTTAGGGCTTAGGGCTTAGGGCTTAGGGCTTAGGGCTTAGGGCTTAGGGTTTAGGGTTTAGGGTTTAGGGTTTAGGGCTTAGGGTTTAGGGTTCAGGCAAACATACCCGACAGAATATACCCAACAGAATTGAGACATGCATTTGCCAAGAATGAAGAGACCGAGCCAAACACCCTGCACCTCGAGGCCCCTGGCGCTTCTACTGGAACAGGGGAATACTGTAACACAAGAGAGGTTGTGATCTGTGCTGTGTTCAAAACTGATAGTTTAGGGTTTAGGGTTTAGGGTTTAGGGTTTAGGGTTTAGGGTTTAGGGTTTAGGGTTTAGGGTTTAGAGTTTAGGGCTTGGGGTTTGGGGTTTGGGGTTTAGGGTTAAGGGTTAAGGGTTTAGGGTTTGATATTTTCTTCTGGTGAAGCTCTGGCGCTTCTGCGTGTGAGCTTCCGCGGACCCTTCCACTAAAGTTTTGTCCATCGCAGTTTCCACCTGTGTTTCCGCAAGAGGGTGTGCTAAATAGAACCGATGTCCGTTACACAAGCAGACTCTATTCTTATGGGTGCATGGTTTGAAGCAGACTCAGCACTCTAGGAGACTGAAACCCCAAACACGAAACTCGGAGAGAAAAAACCGAAACCTAACCACCTGATAAACCCTAAACGCCTAAGCTTAAACCCTACACCCTAAACCCTAAACCCTAAACCCCAAACCCTAAACCCTAAACCCTAAACGTTTCGCCCTGAGCGACGCCCTGGGACTTCGTGGCCTTCTTCCGCCTTCCGCGGGCCTGCCGCAGAATCTCTGCAAAAGACTTTGCATTCAGGCGCCGCCTTCAGTCCCCATCATGAAGTTCTTTCCAAGTCATAAAGTCATAGTAAACCCCAAAAATATATGATAAGCAATACAATCATCATTGCAATCAGGGGGAAGGGGGGGGGGGTTGGCGTCAATGAGATAGTCTACTTAGGGTCCATCGCAACAACCATGTAGTGTTTCCGGTCGCGCAAACACGAGCCTGAGCCACTGCCACAAGATTCTGTATGCTTCCAGGAATGTGTTTTCAAAGCCTAACCCTAAACCCTAAACCCGAAACCCTAAACCCGAAACCCGAAAGCCGAAACCCGACACCCTAACCCTAACCTTATACCCGAAACCCTAAACCCTGAACCCGCAACCCTAAACCCTAAACCCTAAACCAGCTTTCACGCATGCTTTCTTGCTTTCTGGAGCAGCTCCTCGCCCTGGTTGTCGTTCAATCCCTTGGCCCAGAAGTCCTGAACCACGTCCTGTCAAGCCACTGGGTTTAGTGTTTAAGGTTTGGCGTTTAGGGTTTAGGAAACCCTGCAACCCTAAAGCCCTAAAGCCCTAAAGCCCTAAAACCCTAAAACCCTAAAACCCTGAAACCCTAAAACCCTAAAACCCTAAAACCCTTAAAACCCTAAAACCCTAAACCCTAAAATTAAGCTCAAAGCCGCTACACCCTCTCTTGGGTCTAGGGTTCAGCTTTTGGGTTTCAGGTTTAGGGTTTAGGGCTTACGTTTAGGGTTTACGGTTTAGGGTTTGGGGTCTGCCGCATTGTTAACTGAAGATCCTCAACCCAAGCCCGACAGCGATAAAGGGCCAAGAGCCTGAGCTGATTACGAGTAGGTTTGCCAGTATAGGTGTAGGGTTTTGGGTTTGGGGCTTTAGGGCTTTCAGGCTTTGCCTGGCTCTGGGGGCTTTGATTTTCATAACCTGGACACTGAAGCCTTTAAGGCTTGCAAACATGTGCTCCTCATGGTCGATATGTCAAGGGACCTCCCCCAAAAAAATAAGAAAATACAAAGTATGGCCGACAAAACAAACAAAAACAACGACAAAGCAATGATTGCACCGTGAAAAACTGATTCATGGTTGGGATAGCATGAAAGTCTAAGCTTCTATTCCTTATTGGGTTTAAGTACCCCTAAACATGTAAAATGTTAACCAACTTCAACTATGACAAAGTAAACCCTAAACCCCGGCCCTAAACCCTAAACTCCCTAAATCGGACAAAGAATAAACCTGGTGCCTTGCAGGCTTTCAGCCCTCCGCCACCGATGCGGACAAGCAGGCCTGGGCCCCGACTGGTGTGGGGTTTCGGGTTTAGGGTTTAGGGTTTAGGGTTTAGGGTTTAGGGTTTAGGGTTTAAGGTTTAGGGTTTAGGGTTTAGGGTTTAGGGTTTAGGGTTTAGGGTTTAGGGTTTTTCGGGTTTAGGGTTTTTCGGGCTTAGGGTTTTTCGGGCTTAGGGTTTATCGGGCTTAGGGTTTTTCGGGCTTAGGGTGTAGGGCTTAGGGCTTAGGGCTTGGGGCTTAGGGCTTAGGGCTTGGAGCTTAGGGGTTCGGGAGTTTGAGGGTTTTTTGGGCTTTGCGTCGGGCCTCGGGTTTGAGTGGTTTAAGGTTTTGGTGTTTGGGGTTTGGGGTTGGTGGCTTCGTTCGCCTTCTGAATTTTTCTGGCCGAATCCCTCAAGTAGCCTGCGGACACCATTTAGAGGTACCCCCACCAGGAACTGAGTCTGAACAGCCAGAGCTGACCAGTCAACCGCCAAACCTTCCTAAACCTACCCAACCCTAAACCCCAAACCCTAAACCCTAAACCCCAAACCCTAAACCCTAAACCCCAAAACCCTAAACCCCTAAACCCTAAACCCAAAACAACCCACGAGATGTCACGAGACAATCGATCTGAAATCTGCGTCCTGGCCTCTTCTCAGCCTCATCTTCGTCGGCAAGTCATCCTACCCGTGCTCGCTTGAGGGGTGTCGGCTCGGGGGTTAGGGTTCAGGGGCTATCTTACCTTCAAATAGCCATAAACATACACAGAATGAATAAAGATGCAAGTACAAAGACAAGCATATACACAATTGAAGAACTGGACAGATAAACTGTTTAAATTGTTCTGGGATAGCACATCATGGATATTCTATTGTGTTCAACAGTATTAGACTACTACGCCATGCTATTTAGCGTATCTAAACACCATATTGTCTCTTTACACTGGTACTGCTGGAATGATTCTTGCTAGATTCATCTTCTTGTTCTGTGTTCTTCCGAACATAACAACTTTCGTGGGAATGATACTGTTCTCAGTATTACTCCGTTTTTACTTTGCACAGCTTGGTGTTGCAAGATGCAAGGCTTCGGGCTTCAGGCTCAGGTAGCAACCACCTCAACAGCAGTCTCAAAATATAAATCCTGCAACGGAATGTAATATTCTAGAATGAAAATCATGCTTTAGTGCTACAACACTACAACACGGTAGAATTAGAACACTAGAATGCTACAATACTACAACATTAGAGTACTAGAATACTACCATACCATAACACTAGAATACTAGAATACTATAGAACTCAAGACCCTTTACCTTACCTAGGACTCGACTTGATGAACCTAAACACGAGAACCTAGAAGCTCACAATAGTATCTCCATTCGAGGTAAACTAGGGACGCTTAGGGTTCTATCCGAAAATGAGCTTTGGGGACTCCTTCTCGAAACTCTTAAGCTGGTATAACGGGCCATACTAGGAGCATATGAACCCTAAACCCTACGTAAACCCTGAGGAGGGCACTTTCTCCCTTGATCTTACACAACCTAAAGAGGCAGGAAACCCTGGGGCGGCTTATTCCAAGCTGCATCGTTGTGGCATCTGAGCTTGGACCGTCCTTCCGCTTGTTCCGAGGTGTCTGAGGTTTCTCCAGCACTGCAGCTCGTGGCGGCGACGCCTCTTGGACAGCCGGCTTCTTCTCAGGTGTCTTTGCCAACGGCTTTTGGGCAGCTGGCTTTTTCTCAGGCGTCCTTGCTGCCGGGCGCTTCATGGCTAGCTGGGGTCTGGGACTGTGAGCGAGACGGCTACGGGCATGGGACGCACACTTGTATGCTCAGGGTTCGGCTCTTCACTTTCATGCGCAGGCAACTCCTCTTCATCGGCTTCGGGCTCCGCGCAAAGGTGATGCAAAATCACGGACCTAGTCTCGGACTTCTTCCAGCTCAGCGAGTTCAAGCACTTCTAGTTGTCTTGTCAAACGTCTCACACTTGCTTCAAAACTGCCGCCTTCTCGTCGAACTATCCTACTCTATCGGTGCTGGGGTCCAGGGTGCCGCCCGAGGGAAGCACTCCAGGGCTGCCAGCCGGAGTGTTGCTACCTTTTGTTCAACAGTCCAGCTGTCCCACACCAACAGCATGCCTGTAGGAGCAAGCAGCTGAGCCTCTTCCGAGACGTTGGCATCTGAGAAGGTGGAAGCAGCAGGTGAGCTTGGATCGTCCTTCCGCTTGTTCCGAGGTGTCTGAGGTTTCTCCAGCACTGCAGCTCGTGGCGGCGACGCCTCTTGGACAGCCGGCTTCTTCTCGGGTGTCTTTGCCAACGGCTTTTGGGCAGCTGGCTTTGTCTCAGGCGTCCGTGCTGCCGGGCGCTTCATGGCTAGCTGGGGTCTGGGACTGTGAGCGAGACGGCTACGGGCATGGGACGCACACCATGTATGCTCAGGGTTCTGATCAGTTTTGGGGCTCTTCACTTTCATGGTCCTCATCTGCAGGCAACTCCTCTTCATCGGCTTCGGGCTCCGCGCAAGGGTGAGTTTTCTTGGGCGGGCCTTGCACCAAGGTCCAAGTCTTTTCTGTGTCTACGCTGTGGGTGTCTTCATCAGTTTCTCACCCTCGCTTCAGGGGACGAACAAAAGGCCTCTGTTCGCGGTTTGAGAACATGTCTTTGCGGAATGGACCTAACGAAGTCAGTGCAGAGGCAGACACTGTGCAGCTGACATGTGACATCAGAACGTCCTCAGACTTTTCAAGCTCATTGGCGGATGCAGAGTCTGGTGCATGACGAAGTATAAGAATCTACTGGGCAGACTCTTATTGCCTGTGCATAGGAAGTACAGTCGGAACCCGGCGGGTATCCAGTGAAAGCGGCAAGGACCTAACGAATAATTTGACCTAACCACAATAATTTCCACCAAGCGGGGCCACTACACGAGTCCCACAGCCCACAAGCATCCCTTGAGATGGCAGGGTAGGCCTCTTGGGTTTAGTTCCGTATGGGTTTAGGGTTTGGGGTTTAGGGTTTAGGGTTTAGGGTTTCGGGTCTAGGGTTTAGGGCTTGGGGGTTTGGGGGTACGGGGCTTAAGTAGTTCATGGTTGGGATAGTATCAAAAATATTTGTTTATTCCTTATTGGGTTCAAGTACCCGAAAGAATGTAAAATGACACCCAACTATGACAAAGTTAAGGTTTAGGGTTTAGGATTGGGGTTTAAGGGTATAGGGTTTAGGAGTTAAGGGTTTAGGGTTTAGGGTTTAGGGTTTAGGGTTTAGGGTTTAGGCTTAGAACTTTAGGACTGTCGCGCTTCGGATCTCAGGAGGGCGTGAAGGGAGGCCTGCATAGTAGCCGTGAACAGCGCTGTCTGCTTCGTTGTCCGCGTCGCTTTCTTGAGGATGTCCTTCCCCAAGGCACCCCCTGGTTCTTAGGGTTTAGGGTTTTGGGTCTAGGGTCTAGGGTTTAGGGTTTAGGGTTGAGGGTTGAGGGTTGAGGGTTGAGGGTCGAGGGTCGAGGGTTGAGGGTTGAGGGTTGAGGGTTGAGGGTTGAGGGTTTAGGGGTGAACCTTCTTTCCCCCTGCTTCTTTGTCGGGAATGAGGGAATGCGGGCCCTATTGTATACCTGTTGAGGGATTCGAAAGGACCCTCATTCCCACATTCCCTGCTAAGTGCTTTGGGTCTCTGACCCTCTGTTCGAGTACAGTAAACTCCAGAAAGTTGGAGCATCGTTTAAGGATGATTAAAGCTGGGGTTTCCTTTAGTATGCCTCTTTTGGTGTTTGGGGATCAGGACGTTCCAACTTGTTGGAGCTGACTGTACTCCACAAGCCCCCGAAACAAGTCCTCATACATCCTGAAGCAGAAACCAAACCATACACTCTCACAATCCCAAAGCCCTGAACATTAACCCTAGGCCCTAAAACAAAACCAACTCCAAGCCCAAAGCCCCAAGTCCAACGACCAAACCATCCCAATATTCGCCCACATAAATACACATACACATACACATACACATACACATACACCTATACCTATACCTATACCTATACCTATACATATACATATACATATACATATACATATACATATACATATACATATAGACATACATATAGACATACACATACATATACATATACACATACATACTCTGCACCTTCCCAACCCTAAACTCTAAACGATGAACCCTAAACCCTAAACCCTGAACCCAGTCCTGCAGCCGTACATCCTAAACCGTCACCCCTAAACCCTGAACCCTGAAGCCCCCACATTCCTTGAACCCTCCCTAGAGTCCAGCGGGGAGGCCATGTCCATGTCACGGGGGTTGTCACGGTAGTCGCGGTTGTCACGTTCACGCGTGTCGTGGCAAAGCATCTTGTCGGCCTGGGGGGGCAGGCTTTATGGGTTTGGGGTCGACAGGGTTCAGGTTTAGGGTTTTGGGTTTTGGGTTTTGGGTTTAGGGTTTTGGGTTCATGGTTTAGGGTTTGCCTTTAGGGCTGAAGGAGCCAGGGGACAGGGTCTGGGAGTCTGGGCGCCTGTTTTGCGAGGGCGGCTAAGGGTTGAGGGCTCAGGGGGGAAGCCCTAACCCCGCTCACAGGAGCTCCGTTGGTGAACCGCAGGCTAAATCTAGGGTTTAGGGTTTAGGGCTCAGGGTTCAGGGTTTAGGGTGTGGGGTTTAGGGTTTAGGGTTTCGGGTTTAGGGTTTAGGGCTTAGGGTTCACGGATTTAGGGGTTTGGGGTTTGGCGTGTGGGCTCGGTCCTCATCTACCACCACATAGGTGGCACGCATGATGTCGAACCTGTCCTCCTCTCACATCATTTGTTACGGCGAAACCCGAAACCCGAAACCCTAAACCCTGGGATTGAGTGTTCATAGACGACAACCTGATGAAGCATGAGCCGCAGTGTGATTCTGCTGGAATGGACTTGAAGCTAGAGACGCAAGAAGAATGGACCGCAAACCCTAAACCTAGCTAGCTGAACCTGAGCCCCGCAACCCGCTCGGTGAACTTCGCAGTCTCAAGTACTGACTCGGAGAGCCCAACTTTGTGCACCTAGAACTCTACTGTGAACCTTATTTACTGTCCTCCCTGTGCCCTTATGTAACCCAAGCCCCTATTTCAACCGTCAACCCGCACGCGGGATCCTGCAACAGGCTGCCCAGTCGGCCAGCGGAGGCGCAGAGGATCTCGTATCTCCCGGCGACACTATTGAAGCTATGGTCTACTTTGAAGCGCATGGGTCGTTAAGAGTAAGGTTGCCCCACTCCTAAACCCTCATCAAGCCCGGAAACCAAACAACTCCAATGCACCGGAACTGGCAGACCTTCAACCCCAAACCCTGCGATCCTGGACCTTCACCCCCCCTAGCCTCTATACCCCAAACCATCACAGCTTCATTACTACTCTAAAACCCTAATACCCTGCACTCCTAAAGCCTACACTCCAAAACCCCGAGCCCTCGAACCCCAAAACCGAAACCGTAATTATGCCCCAAACCCTTGAACCCCAAACCCCCAACCGTAAACCCCGAACCCTTGTGGCTTCTTATAACTTATGTTAAGGGGTAAAACAAGGGACCCTTCATCTTATTCCCCTAAACCCTAAACCCTAAACCCCAAACCCTAAACCCTAAACCCTAAACCCTAAACCCTAAACCCTAAACCCTAAACCCTAAACTGCAGCAGGGCCGCTTGCCCCGCTCGATGGCTCGGTCTCCGCGGCTGCAGGAGGCGACCCGGTAGTTGAACCCGCCTCGTACTTGGAGGTTCAGGGTTTAGGGTTTAGGGTTTAGGGTTTAGGGTTTAGGGTTCAGGGTTCAGGGTTTAGGGTTTAGGGACTTATTTATGAATCATAGCTGTGCTTATAATCATATTGGGGCGCTTAAGGGGGCGTATACGTAGGTTTTAGTGCAGTTATGATTGGTTGATAAGTACCGTGAACCCGCCTCGTAGGGTTTAGGGCTTGCAGGTTGGGCAATTTAGGGGGGGTTTAGGGTTTGCGGTATAAGGTCTATAGGGTCTAGGGCTTAGGGATTTTCAGGGTTCTCAGGGTTTTCACAGGGTTTGCAGTACGGGGTGTGGGTTTTTATACATAGGGTTGAGGGCTGCAACCGTTCCAGGGTTCGCTTCTTCTGCCTTGAAGAGCTTGAGGGTGCCTTGGGTTTTTGGGGTCTTCAGGATTTTGCGACTTGGGATTATAGGATCTGGGATTCCGCGCTCTTCTTTCAGGGTGGGGGGATTGAGATGTTCCCTCTTATTAATAGGGATTTACATAAGAGGGGGGGTACGACGATCCCTATTAAGGACTGCTAGTGAAAGGAGGAACATCCCAAGTTTGGGATTTAATGTCTGGGGGCTTCGGACCGCAGATCTTGGGTAAACCCCGCGCGCGCACGCGCGCGCGCGCTCGCGCGAACCACTTTCGCAGCCCGGCGGCCGTATTGGCACCACTTCGTAGCTTCGGCGGCGACCTGGCGCACAGTGGGTTTATAGGGTTTCGGGTTTAGGGTTTAGGGTTTAGGGTTTAGGGTTTAGGGTTTAGGGTTTCGGGTTTCGGGTTTCGGGTTTCGGGTTTCGGGTTTCGGGTTTAGGCTTGAGGTTTAGACAAGCCTGGAAGTCCCCTCTAGTCCTACTCACATCTCCCCTCAAGCCACAGGCCGTAGACTCTCATGAGGATTTTCCCAAAATAGGATCTCCGAATATAAAACATGACATAGTCCTTACTATCGGAACCCAAAATCTATGAAATCCCCTCATGAGTATGAAGGTGTACGCCTTCGTCCTGTCGCGTTAGGCCCTGGTCCCAGTTTCAACACCTACAGGTGGAGTCAGGGCGCTCTAGTGGTTTAGGGTTGAGGGGTTTAGGGGCGTAGGAAGGTTTAGGGGTTTAGGGGTTAGGGGTTTAGGGGTTTAGGGGTTTAGGGGTTTAGGGGTTTAGGGGTTTAGGGGTTTAGGGGTTTAGGGGTTTAGGGGTTTAGGGGTTTAGGGGTTTAGGGGTTTAGGGGTTTAGGGGTTTAGGGGTTTAGGGGTTTAGGGGTTTAGGGGGTTTAGGGGTTTAGGGGTTTAGTAGGGGTTTAGGGGTTTAAGTGTAGGGGTTCAGGGGTTTAGGGGTTTAGGGGTTTAGGGGTTTAGGGGTTTAGGGGTTTAGGGGTTTAGGGGTTTAGGGGTTTAGGGG